AATGTAGTTTTACATTCTACTGTTCTGTATCTTATTGGATTAATGAAATGAAATGTAGTTTTACATTCTACTGTTCTGTATCTTATTGGATTAATGAAATGAAATGTAGTTTTACATTCTACTGTTCTGTATCTTATTGGATTGATGAAATGAAATGTAGTTTTACATTCTACTGTTCTGTATCTTATTGGATTAATGAAATGAAATGTAGTTTTACATTCTACTGTTCTGTATCTTATTGGATTGATGAAATGAAATGGAACTTTCCATTCTACTGTTCCACCTAGCTTTGAACTAACAAAATAAAATTGTTGAAGAAAAAAAAATGGAAAAAGGAATAAGTAAGTTGAGAGAAATATTTCAATATCGTGAAAATAAGAAATCAATTTGAATTCAAGACGCGTACCAGAATCTTCTTGTCAATTTTATAATGTCAGGTTCTTCCAGACTTAACAATCCCACAATTAATATTCACGATGTTTAGAGAAGGAAGTCGTTTCCAGGAATCGTAACATAGAATTAGTCAATTAATTCAGGCAGCTGGCACCATTTAAATATATATAATAGTATGGACACACTTGACATTTTCTGTCAGTGACCCAGGTTGGTGAGTTATTGTCTTCACAAGATGAAATGAAATGGAATTTTAGTCCCCACTGTTCTGTATATTATTGGACTAATGCAAAGAAAATGGAGTTTTAAGTCCTACTGTTCTGTACCTTTATGGACTTCTGAAACAATTGTAGTTTTATGTCCTACTCTTCTGTAAGAGTAAAAGTTTATTTGACTATTGAAATAAAATGGAGGTGTATCTCCTACATTTCTGTAAGATTGTTGAAATAAAGAAATAAAAATAAACATTATTGCAGATAATGAATTTTGTGACACTGACTGTCTGGAATGTCGCGTAGTTTGTCATTCCAGAAGTTCAGTCAGCGATACACTTACTGTTTTTCCATACTTTTGGAAATTGGTTTGTTTTGAACATGTTTCCGTGTAATCTTTTCCACTTTCACATTCTTGTTGGCAGAATACAGTGTTGGGTTTTGTTTATTCTTATCTTCTTGCGTCTTTTATTTTGTTTCCCGATGTAATTGGCTATATTCAATTCACGTTTGAGTAACTTTTTCCATGACAAAATGGCCGAATCGTCAATGGTGCTTATATAGTGCAAACCCTGACTGGTCTATGGCATCTGTGCCAGTACAAGAACCTGTTCGTGTTTTTATTTTTATTTTTTTTAAAAGACTACACAAATTTCTCGAAAAAGTAAATAGTCCAAATTTAGGACTAAATCATGGTTTATGTTCTATTGGAATTCATGGGTACGGTGGATTGCGACTCATCTCCGACCCGCATGACCGTATATCCAGGTCATTTGATAAGTTTGCCGCGGTCGATTTGGTTTACCTCCATTTGGGGTCTAATGATTTGGCAGATGTTCATTGCTCCCCTCATGACTTTGTTCGTGAGATGTTTTCGTTTACTGACGCAATTTTTCATCATGGGGGACCGCAATATATTATAATTTCCCAACTTCTGCCTCGTAAAACTGTGCCGTTTGCAGAGTATAACTCAAAAGTTGTGGACACGTATTTATTGCTCACTGCCGAGTGTCAACATCAATCTTCTGTGAATTTCTGGAAGCATCAAGCGGGTTTATTTAATCCAGTTACAGACCCTTATAGTTCGGATGGGGTTCATTTATCGGATGCCATCGGCTATCCCTTATTTTTAAAGTCGGTGCAGGATGCCATTTTGCGCCATATTAATTGGCATTTTGTATGATAATTTTTGGGGTGTAAAATGCAGCCACCTTTGTTTCACGCATGCGCATTTAACTTTGAAGTTTCCTTTTAGTAAAACTTTCAGATTTGTTGAAATATTAGTGAATCTATAGAATTTGGGATTTGGTGTATCCTGTTGTTTTGGTTTCTGTTTTTCCTGTCGTTGGTATAGCTGCTAGGTACGTATTCTTAGTGTTGATATAGTTGCTAGGTATGTATTCTTAGCGTTGGGCTAGATATTAACTTTGGTTGCTGGCTGTAAGCTAAGATGTTTTTGTCCCCGCACGTGGTCGGGAGTCAATATTACCTGTATTGAGTTGGGTACGGGCACTTGGTTGTCCGTTTGTTGGGTACGGGCACTTGGTTGTCCTTTGTTACTTCTGATTAGTAATAATTTCGCTGGATCTTTGGGTGTTTCTTGGTGGAACGTCACTTGGGAATCAACAGTGGTTTGATTGTGTTGTGCTTACAAGGGTGTTAGGCCTCTTAATTTTAACTTATGTGACTATGTGGGTTTACATATTGTTGTTACTTTCATTTCAGTATGCCAAAAAGAACACATACTAGGGATGTTTCAGAGGAAGATGTGGGCCTGATTCCAACAACAGCTGAAGACCGTCTTACTAACATCTTAATAGACAAATTGATTAAAAGGCGTCTAGTGTTGCCTTCAGCTTCTGTTGCAAATGCTAATACAACGGTTTTAGGTCCATCTTCTAGAGCATTGAATAGCCCATTACCTACAGGTGCTGCTACTATCCCGACAACTTCAGTTGCTGCTTCCATCCCTATCACAACCTCTATTACAGATTCCACCAAAGTGCAAGTATGTTCAGCTACAACCTTTGTAACTGCTTCCATTACCAGCGATTCCGTGCCAACCACAGCTACAACTGCATGTCCAAGTGTATTGTCCTTTGATGCGACACAACTGTTCCCATTAGCAGGTATTCCCTTTATCTGCTCCTACTGTTCCTTCTCCAGCTGCCAATTTAAATGATGGAGTTCATATCTCCATTCACGTTGCGGAAAAAATGAAACAAGATATTTGGAGTAATCGTTTTATTGATATGTCTGCTCTGCTGCCAGGTACTTCAAAAAGTCACCTGTCCATTGACGACAGTCCAAGCACTTACCTTGTGGAACAATATTCATCCAGAATTGTGGCTTCAGGCAGCCACTATCCATGGCACAAAAATGTCGCCAGTAAATAAAACTTAGATGAATTCTTCTGGAAACCGCATTAATCGACTTCAACCACGTAGTTGTACTTGTTACGATTTTAATTCACCCCAAGGTTGTAGTTGGTCAAACTGTAGGTTTTTGCATGAATGCACTCGTTGTGGCTTTAATCACTCTGTCACAAAATGTTATGCATGCCGTACCCGTGCGATAACTGATAATCAGACTGCTGCTTCAGCTATTCCGACTCCTCAACTCCCTAACAATCTTTCCCAAGCAGGACAAGTTCCTATTCCAGCCTAGGCAGTAGCTTCATGGTATTCCTTTCGTCGCACCAGTGCACCCACAAAAACGAGTTCCAACTCCAGTCAGTCCAAGTAGGCTGAGACAATGTTTAGTAGGGTATGATCCTCATGAATCTCAGTATCTTTGTGATGGGTTTTCCCACGGATTTCACATTCCATACAATGGCGATCGCAAATTTTCCATTTAAAAAAATCACAATTCTTGTTCGGACAATTTAGATATTTTGTTTAAAAAAATTAACCATGAACTTTCTCATGGTCGTGTTATGGGTCCTTTTGTTGATCCACCTTTTTACGAATTTACGCTGCTCCCTGTGTTATTGGGTGTTATTCCTAAACATGAGAAAGGCAGTTACCGGTCCCACGTCAGTTTACATCAGTGAAATTTTAATGGTTTAAGCAAACTGGACCTTGGCCAATTGTCACATCAGAACTACTCTTCCCTTATCTCTTTTCTTTAAGTAAGAGTTTGCAACTACTCTCTGAATTGACCTTGAAATAAAAATATTTCACCTAAAATGTTTAATATTTCAATTAAACTGTATATTCTAAATTATAACTTAGAAATTTGATTATTTTACAAGATTTGGTGCCTGAGAAATTCCAGTTTTCATTTTATACATATTATCTTGATGCCATTAACAGAATCAACCGCAGAATGGTCTGATTCATCAAAGAGATGTGGACCATGACCAGCTACACCCAAATTAACATGCAATTGCTAAATTTAGAAACATTCACACAAGAAAATTAGTTGAAAATACATTCCTTCCTTTGACTACAGGCCAGTGGAAATTCATATCAAATTTGGTGGGAAGAAGACTTTATACAACACTTCAGGGGCATATTTAGTCTAAGGTTGGAAAGAAACACTTTAAAGTAGAAGTATGTATCAATTTACATAATTTATTTTAAAATATAAATATATATCAATAATCTAAAAGTATAATTAAATTTTAATGTTATAGTGAAAAATTCTGTGTCCTTGTTTCATAGCTAGCAACATTTTACTATGATTTTTGATTAATAGTTAAGACTTCCTGGAACACACTTCCCCTTTAAGTTATTAATGTGAACAAAATAGCCATGATTATACGACATGTTTAAAGAGACTGTCTGATAATAGTTAAAACTTTCTGTTTTAGTGAATCTGGCACACACTTCCCCTTTAAATGATTAATGTGTAAGAAGAAGCTGGTTATATGTTATGTTTAAACAGAGGATATAGATCTAATTTCTTCAAGTGTCTTTATGCAATATACTTCAAAATCTACTTCAGTTTTAACATCTTACTTCCTTTCCTGTAATAACTTTCAAAATCTTACTAAATCTATTTATACATAAAACTTTGAAGGAGGCTTAGGTCCACAATTCAGTGTGGTATTACACATATCAAAAGAAATCAAGGAGAAAAAATAATTCAAAGGCAATTTGCCAAACTTTTGACCTTTCAATCAGACATAACTGGCAAAATATGGTCAGATCAACAATTTCAAACTGATGTATTCAAATACAAAGCAGACATTGATTGGCAAAGTACAACAGAGAAAAATGATAATGCAAACAAATCTATGGTACCTTGAAGCAGACAAATCTGGTAAAATACACTCAAATCAGTATCCCTGATCAAAAAGACCTACTTAACCAACATATTTTATAATCAAAAATCTTACCGACATTTAAACTTTCAAAACACTGCCATTAGAGAGGGAGACAAAAAGAAAGAACAAAATGGATAACCAGCAGCCAAAAAATTATATTTTACTGTTAATATCGACTTAAAAAGATTGGTTTCTTATAAACCAAATAAAAAATCATAAATTGAGAAATGTCTACTTTTTTGTAAAAAATTTTTTTATAAATTGTAACCATTCTTTCTTCATAAAATTATTAAGCTATCTTTCTGATCTTAAAGGAAATAATCTTGAATTACCGCAATCAAGTCTTTTGTTGATGATACTTGGTGAAAATTGATCGAAACCAGAAAATCTGGTCAGAGTTTCAGCTAGATAAATCACGAAGTACAGATATTGTCGATATCAATAGAACAATATTCTTCACTGCAAATCGAAAATTACGGCAATTATCTCGTCAACATGTTTTTTTATAAACAGCCAATAAAGTTTCATCTCATTTCAACCAATAAACATTCTACTAGACATTTTAAAGGAGTATTTCAGGAACAATCTGGTTTTAAAGGGAACTTTACCTCACTTGCAGAAGAGGGTTTAAAAGAACCACAAAGGAACAGATCAATTTGATAAATTACTGAATTAAAAGCACAAATCACAAAAGCAATTACCCTGGAAGAAGATTTTTTTTAATAAACTTATTAACTTATGTTAAAGTGGAAATGTTTGCACTATTGATTTGCTAGAAGAATGTGAAACTCACAAAAGTACCAACTCTGGAATGATATGCATATTAAGACTGCTTAGTGACAAAATATGCACATAATCTTCATCTGATTATTATTTTTGTCACCTTCCCTGGCCACACAAAGTTTTTATTTGACCAAAACTTTGTATTTTATTTTATTAGTATGCGCTAGCTTGAGAAAACAAGAACTGTTATGTCTCCATTTGTACATAAATTATCCATTTTAACATAGTAAAATCATTGCTTTATCATGTCAAAAGAGTAATCCTTGTCTAATTTAACTTCATTTACATTTTCACTGTTTCCACCACAATGTTTAAGTTTAATCCTGCTTCTAGACTAAAAATGTAAAAATTCAAAAGTATACAGTGCATATTACCACTATAAATGGATTGGAAAAAGATTATCTAAATTTTTTACATGCATCAGGATAGCATCCATTTGCACCATTCCAATTTTCAATCAGACTTGTGTGGTTTCTGCAATTACACAAAATCTAAGTGTTTGATGATATTACTAATTACAAAAATATGCTTTATCTCACAAGGCAATTTGCAATTAGTGATATCATAGCAACACTTTAGTGGATTAGCAGAAACCAAATACATCCGATTGAAAATGGGAATGGTGCAATGGAGTGTCTCCGATTCACACAGAAGATTGAAATAATGCATATAAAGACACTATAGCAACAAAAATATTCACATCTTATTAACATATGTCATTTATTTCAATAGTATTTATAAGTAGTGACAAGATCTCCTATTAATATCCATTATTATCAGAGAAATTAGTTTTTATTATTAAGATACCTTACTATTTCACTAGCTATCTATTTCACTTAATTTCATTTCACTCAGATACAATCCACGGATCTGTTGTCAGAAAATTCTTACAATACAATCCTATCTTATTAAAGGGGCAGACTGATATTTTAAGAAGGTAGGGAGAGAAAGGTGCTCAAAGTAATGTAAACTACAGACCAAAATAAAGAGAAATATGTCCCTTATTTGAAAGTATCTTGAAATTTATGCTTAAAAAATTAATGTACGAATTTAAGAAAAATAAACGCTAAATTGTAGAGAAATTTGTCTCCTGCCATTCTGAAGTTATCAATTAAATTATCAAGCTGTTATAACATCCATTACCAAAACAATTTTAAACTGTTTATTTTGTCTGAATCAGCAGGTAATGATGTAAGTTCACAATAACAGAACAGTGGCAGGATTTCAGCAATGAGAACACTCTATAGCATGAATTGACAAGAATTCACCTCATGCTTGCCTAACATGTTTTGGTCCATGTCAGGATACAGTTTTGAAAAAATAACCCTACTTGGAAAAATTGGACAAGGAAAGCGAACTCACCAAACCTGAGATAGACAATGAATTATTCTATACGACTAAAATTTATTGAAAGTGATAGCCTTCTTTAAATAAATAATAATGTTAAAATAAAGTAAAACTGTCAAAACACAAATTGAAAAAGAGAAGCTTAACTCGATTTCCTAATTGATTTTGTGGATTTTCTGCTCGGTGTCGAAAGATGAATGTTGATTTGATTACCAATATTTTACTTTTTTAGAAAATGACAAAAATATGTTATAACTGTAAAAGGACAGTTGACATTTCAATATTGTCACATGATAAAATGGAAGCCTTTTTAATGTTTGATGGGTTGACAAAGATTAATGCAAAAAAGATTGAAAAAGTAATACACAGTGTAGCTCTACAGAAAACCAATCGAGGCACCCACATAGTAATAATAATTGGTAAGTGTGACGCATCAAAAAATTATACTACATTACGTCCAAAAATCAGTAAATGTGCAGCGGCCTTAACTATTGTTTTGATTGTATTTATCAGGCATGTTTGACTCTAGCTCTAAGCTTCAATTGCTAATGAATTCTAGGTTTAATTACCTGTATTTTCCTACCATGTCTAACCAGAGCTCAAAAAATTGTTGTTTTGACTATATTTACCAGTCATTTCTGTCTAAAGCACTAGATTGTTTTTACTGAATTTACCAGTCATATCTGACTAAAGTTCTAGACTATTTAACTGTATTTACCGCTCTTGGCTTTTCCAGTGATTTCAACAATGTTTCATTTACTGTATTTACCAGTCACACCGACTAGAGCTCTTGACTGTTGATTTGGCTGTTTATACCAGTCATGTCTGACTAGAGCTAACTGTTTATTTGGCTGTATTTACCAGGCAGATGTCTAATTAGTGCTCTTTATCAGAATTGGTAATGTCTTATTGCAGTTTGCAAATACATCTTGCTCTCATTTTGGACTGTAAATCTTTACTTTAAACACCTCAAGATCCCTTGTTCTCCCTGTGTTT